CTTGGTTTAACGATTTAGATGTATATGGAAGGGAATCCCAAGATTGAATTCGCGTTCAGAGATTTGTTAGAGATTGGTTGACTAAAATCCCGTCCACTTAAAAATATAAACAAAGACAAAAAAGGTCGGAGATCGATCGATTCGAGAGGCCGCTTACGCAATTTTACGGGATTCGGCGTAATTACGCCGGTAGATGAAAGGAAGAAACAATTGGCCGTTGAAAATCATCGCAATTTGTAATATTATGTTCCAAGTTGGTACGAATGAGACTCCCAGATGGAAGTAGCTGGCGCCTAGGAGGCTGACAAACTTAATACGGACGTGTTATATAGCCTTAATATGAAGGAGATTGCGGCGAAGGGGGACATCGAAACAGAAGCCCTTATCTGTTACACTGTGGAAACAACCCTTAAGGAATTAAACTGAAAAATTGACATTTATGGGAAGATCAAATCTAAGGCTGATTCACATTTCGCTTCCACTTCCAGTACGAGTTACCAACTTAAGGCAGAGTCATCGAAAAAAGCAGTTGTTACAGAGGCTGCACCCCATAAAGGTCAACAAAATTTCAGCTGCTTCAACTGCAGCAACTTGGCCATCGCGCTTAGGAATGTAGGAAGTCGACGAGTGAAAGGGCTCGTGCTTCAATTGTGGATCGATGGAAATGAAAATGCATGACCAACTGCGAAAATTAAATCTGAAAATACCATTGTTCAGTCAACGACTCACGGTATAGTTCAGAACTCTTGCATATTTTATTCTTTACTCTCTGTCACCGATGAGCATGGTATTACCACAATCCGTGATATTAAAACCATGCTTGGCACTTGTAGTATGTCAAAATCTCATTCATAGATTTTTAGTTCCTCAAATTTGTTATTCTTTAGAATCAGTAACTGATTCATTTGCCGAGATCTCAATAGAAATCTTAGGTAGGTTTAAGGGTACTATTAAAATTGTTGATTTTTCCTTTCAAGTTAATTTATGTGTTGTACCTGATAAAACTCTGAGTCATGGCATGTTGTTAGGTAGGAATTTTATTAAATCAGAAGATTCCATTAAGTATACGTCACTCATAACATGCACCATTAGGCAATTCGAATTTTTACGAATACCGTTTGGACTGACTAATGCCCCTTGAGGGTTCCAGCGATATATCCACAAAATCTTTGGTGATTTAATTCAGTATAATAGTATGAACATGACGTTCCATTAAAAAAATTAAGAGACACCGTAAGCGTTTCCACAAATGGCCCTCAGAGCTTTGAGGTGAAATTTCTTCTTATTTAAGTGAAAATCTTAGTTTAATGTATTATACATGCATTGGAAGGTAATGTTCTCAATACCATCAATAAAGGTGTTCCGGAAATTGTTCAGAGGCCCTTAGAGGAATGTAACAGGCTAGTTTTGGTAGGACAGGCTTCTAGGGCGTAAAACAGTGAGGGATTTAAAGTACAAATATATCGGGCGTAAGGAAGATATGACCTATACAAGTCATAACTTGCAGAGTATCATAAAGATATTTGGTATAGGGAAATGGTTGAGAATTGAAATTGAAATTTACAATTGCATATCTAGTATGAGACATGGGAATCTTACAGAGTGGAAAAATCACGTTTTCGTGCCCAATATTTATTTTACAAATGGCAACGCATTTTGACAAGCACTTTCATGCTAATATATTTGCAGTTGGATTAAAAATAAGAACATAAAATAAATAAATATGAGCAATATACTAGATAATATAATTTATTTACTTTTTAATATTTTAATTGCAGTTGTTTATCAAGTCTTCTTGGAAAACAAAACATACTCACCTAATGACAGTGACATAGTTAAGCTTAAAGAACAGACAGTAAAAGTTTCTTAATTTTCCTTACATTTCAGTTTAATTTTCCGACAATGTATACTCAAAGTGAAACGTGGATATTTTATTCATATTTGATCATAGAAATTGCTCGCTCAGAGATCTCCAAATCGACAAAGCCACCTAGAGACAATATTAAAAGTGACTCTCGAAAATGAAGACTTTCAAAAACGTCACATTCTGATACAGAATTCTCATAAATCTAAAAATGTAAAGATATTGCTGTGTAAACAATGTCAGTCAGGACGTTGTATTTTGTAGTAAGACATTTGGAATGAATTCAGGCGCCTAATTGTCTAATTAATGTCATCAAAATTTTGTTTTCTTTGTTTAATGTCGTGGGTCTAATTGCGTCTTAACCAAAACAATTTTCCAAATGGAGCGTGCAGTCAAGTTTGTATTTGTTTACTTTCTGTATAAATGATAAGAGATTTCTTGGAATTTATTAGTTATCAAGGCGTGACAGTTTTGATGTGATTTATTAAGATTTCCGTTTTTTGAAAGAGACAAAGGTAATTATTTGAGATAACGTGGCTCTTTAAGAAAAATTATATTATTAGGTAGAAATTGTTGAATTAGATAGGAAAAAGTTCTAATAATTATAATGTACCGTTTTGAGTTCCATGATATTAGTTATCGTCGTTTTTATGCTGCTGATATTGGTTTAAAAAATTTATGAAATTCAAGTAGGATTTCCATTTAAACACGAGAGACGCGGAAAGAAGACGCTTTTGTTGAAGTTCGAGGCCACTCATCCAGTTCAAAAGCGTTATTTCGAAGAGGAGTCAGGTTATCCAGTTCGAGGCAATTACGTTTTAAGTTATCAAGAAAATCTGTTCGCAAGTTGAATTAATGTGCCAAGTTTGAAGGCTGCCTTGGTTTTTCATTTGTGCGCGGTGTTCGAGAAAATTGGTTATGCAAATATTTGGAGCTAATTTATTGGATGGGTCGGACAGCGATTTTAAGTTGATGAGGGCTACGTTTTGTATAAGGATAAATTTTACCGCATTTGCATTGGAGAAAGAAAGCAGGAGGGCCAAGTTTGAGTGTGTCATGATTAATCAGGTGTCTGTGGTTTCAGTTAGCGTAATTAGTGATTTGGTGTACGAGCTTTATTTGAATATTTTGTCTCGATAAAGAAAACTGTAAGTAATTTTAAGTTTTACTTGGTAGTTAATTGCAATATTGTTTTGAACACTCTCGTCCATTTTAAAAGTACAGTGATGGTTGCTTTTCTTGTTATTATGTTGTGTGTAAAATAAAATTTGTCAGTGTAATTTCACGCTAGTTGTGTGTTAATTCGAACCCTTCATTAACGACGAACAGAGAAGTTTCATGTTCAAATTACCATTAATTTGACTTGATTCTCGTCCAAAGTTCATTTTAAGTGTTTAAATTAATCTTTCCCACTGTCTCCCGTCATTTTTTCTGTATCGGGACGAGGATCTGTACCGAGAAAAGTTATAATTGAAGAAATAATTAGGTTTAAATAGTGTTTTGTGTATGGCTCCTTTTGGCCTGATATCATTGTACCTACATAGGGTTACATTTAAAAATTCAAATCAGACTCATTTCCGGCGAAACCGGATGTGATCACAGAGTGAAATTATATGTGAAAAATCTCCTTTTTCCATATCATTGACCTGAACCAACTTTAATTTTGATCCACCTTATACTCTAGAACCTATGACTTGTCCAACAGACACCCTATATATTCATTATCACTAATTTCATGTAATTCGGTGCGCTATGAATTAACGAATACCAATCTTCGTCGAGATCGAATTTTTTAGAGGAGAATATTATTGAGAAGTTGTACAAAGTAGGGAACGATATGCAGAAAATTGTCCTCCCATGGACTGAGATTTATATTAGTTACATAATGGGTTATAAAAGGAACGTCAATTTTGGAAATTTTGTTGGCATTAAATTTTACACCCTCGGTTCAGTTAGGAATAAACCCCTACGACCAAATTTGATGGTACCTATATTTGGCGGCTGCCTCATTATGATCACTATATAACCGAAAGAAATCGTTCACTTTTCCGGTTCAAGAGGTAGAATTTCCCTATATAAAATGAAGTATTTATCGTTTATTGCCATCTTTACTATTATTTAGATTATTTGTTCGATAACAAATAGTACACAATTGGCACAAACTTATTGGATAAGAGTCCCTTGAATTGTGTTGTCTGAACTAGTTTCAATGAATGTCTTAATAATTGAACTTCACCGCCCTCCAGGGACACTCAGTAAACAAATTCAGACGACCGTCCAGTAGACAACGAGTGTGCTCCAATTTATAAGTAGTTCAAGGATTTATTAAAAAAGGTCCGAGAGCTAGCTAAGCCAATTTTCATTTTGATGTGAAGAGCACTTTTATAGCGAACACAGAGATTTGGGACAATATGTTATTTACGGAACTTCAAGCTTCAATTTATTTTACACAGAACACTCGTGTGGTTCATGTAACCCACCACAGCTGCATTGTGGGAAAAACAAACCACAGCATAAAATTAGATACGTCCGATTTATTTGCAGATTTTTCAATGAACAGGTTTATGTTGGCGCAATAAATAACTCACTGTGGAGCACTCCAATAGGTTCAAAAGATTAATGACGGCCACTGTGGTCTAGTTTAATTTTAGTTTCCTTTGGAAAAATAAACTGGGAATGTTCCTGATGAATATTGTGCCTCTCCCACACATCGTATCGACTAGGTATATTGTGCAAGGACATTTTGTGCTATTCAGAAACCTGATTTCTTTAGCTGATCTTTTTTTGGCTTCCTTTATGTGAGAGATCAATTTAAGATTTTCCAATGTCACACCTAGGCCGCGTACGTTACACCACTAAGCACACCGCACAGCTGCAAGGCAACATAGTCCACAGGTGTCTGTTTTGGCCCGTAAATTGATTAAATGTCCGATTATAATTTACAACTCGAAAGATATCAATTAAGCTTCATTATCAAAGGAAGCATTTCAATCCCGATTAAGTTGGAACCGTCACGTAAACTCAAGCACACGATTGCAATTTCTCTAGTGGATCAAACAACTGAAAGGCATTGTTGTGGGGTTTTCCGCCAATGTTTCGGTCGAAATATAACTTAAAGAAAAATTTATTTACTCACATTATCGTGAATGTATCCCAGAGGTATTTCAGCCCACGAAAGTAATCTAGAACCTCGATTTCTTAATTGAAATGCGTAGTCGCCTGAAAACACAGAAAAGTTAAAAAATAAAAATAAAAACCTGGCATATCTGATCAGGTGTGGTCAAAGTGGGATGTGATTAGAACTAATCTGGGAATGCAGTAATTATGACTTTACCGTTTTTCTCCATGATCGAAGTGACTGGAGTTTAGCGTGCTAAATAGATAAGTTTGAGCACAGTAATGTACAGTAACATGACTTATTTTATTATCAGTGCGGTACGCTCCTAATCACTACTCTTGTAAATAAACATAGGGACGGTCGCTGAGACCTTCTTTCACATTTTGAAGTTAATTGTACCTTCAATGCTGATGAACACTACTTCATGGGTTTCACCAGAACGTAAAGGTAGGTCGTGTTGGCAACAGAGCACGATCTCCAGGTGGTTTTTCACACGTATTAACACTTAAAAAAACCACCATAGCACTGACCGCAATTTAAAGCGGAAATTGATAACAATGTTGATACCCGGAATAATTTCAAACACCTTACGGGAACTTTGCTTATAAATAAATGCATAAAAAAACGTTCCCAGTTATGTAATTACTTACCTTTGGTCGAGTGAAGAGTGCCTACCTTTTTAATTCTTAAGATTGCAAACAGTCTACGTACCTAATTATATGGGGAAGTTGCGTTGTAAAGGATTATATAAATATATACACAGCTAAAACTCCTTAAGGATTACACTGTTAATTTACAAGATTTAACTGTAGAAAACGGTTCGGTTTATAATATGACAGCGTTCGCTGCCTGCGCTTGAGTTTTCCAGTTTTCCACTGCTACTACAGGGAATCGATCAGCTGAAGTACACTCAGCGGCGGTAATATCCTAGTAACCTTCTGAAAATCGATAATTAAATTTAGATTTTAATTTCTGCTACTGGCGGCGAATCGTTCGGCCAAATAAAACGGAGGAAACGATTTGCGATTTACTCTAAAAAAAAATTGCTCAATGTCTAAAATTGAAGACAACCACGCGCGGAAGCGCATTAATGGCAGCTTAATCCGAAGATGGTGCAGTGAAGGTACAAATACCGAAAATTGGAAAGCTAACCCTATACAATTAAACGGTGGGCGAAAATTTGTTGGTGACTGTATCCGACGCTGCGCATGACGTCAGGAATCGCCGTCGATACAATGGGCGTCAAAGTCGGTGTTTGTAATACTAACGACCTCTATGTGTTGATAACCACAGGCGCTGCAGTTACAGGATTGTTTACATTTTTGTTCTTGCAACCCTTATTTAGCTGGAAGTATCTAAGTAATCTGTTATATTGAGAAAAGAATTACTTTATCGGCGAATTAAATTTAGTAATACAAGAGCTCTTTGTGAAATAAGAAGGACCCGTGCAACGAGAAGGCGCCACAAGTATTTTATTGGCTACAAACATTTTTTAGCTTCGTTTGAATCATTCGATTTCTTTACTATAAAAAACTTTCAAGTTTCAAAAGCAGTTCCTTTTTCACCATTTTCTTGGTCGTATCGATTCTTGTAAAAAAAATAGTAACGAGATTTCTCATAAGAAATTTTCACCTGAATCTGCCTTTATTCTGAAAATACAGGGATCTGTCTATCGAAGCAATATCATAACCTTTTTTATAGCCTGACAATTTGTTGCCAGTCTCATGGTGTATTGACTTTAAGTTGGGGAATTTTTCTTTCCAGGTGTGTTACCTCTGACATTTGGTTGCAATAAATTATTCTCCATCCTACCTCTGGTTAGTCTTCATACATCTTCTAACGTAGGTAATTATATGTAAATATGCTCCGGCTAGCTGTCAATCAGTAGTCCTCTTGTTGTGGTCACTCAAGGAAAAGGACAAATACGTAACTAATCAGTCAATAATATTTGTTAAAGTATGAAACGGTTATTTTCAGGTTAATCTTGACTGAAATGGCGTAAATAGTGGTTGAGGCGAAACAACCCTGTAAAGTAAATGGTTAAAAAGCATTCATGAGCAAAACGCACCTCACCTTGATACGAAGTATTCATCTTTATTTGTAAATGAACCAAACGCAATATACAATGAATCACCGTCGGGTACTAAAAGAAAATTTATTTTATTTTAATAAACACCCTGTATAATAAAAACTAAGCGATCTACAATACGTTAACAAATTAAGAATTTTCAGGTGCAGGTCTAATTTCTACTACCACCCGGCACCCACAAACACCAACGTGATTCAAAATTGGGAGTAGGTGGTTAAATCGCATTTACATAAGTATACAAAATGTTATTAATTTTATTTCAGCACGGCCCGATGATGAGTTATAAACACGAAATCGATAGCCTACAGAAAGATTTAAAAAAAATTTAGTTTTTTTTTTTATAATAAGCAATCTCTGTGTTATGTAGAATTAAACAGCGCGTGAGCATAAAATTCTCTTCAATACGTTATAATAAAGAGAATACGGTAGCACAATTGTTCAAAAATACCTTTAATGATTGTGCACCAGGAGTTCTAGGGGCGTTCTGCTCACGGCTTTTAATCAGAATGAAAATGGTCCTCCTTTCAGCTGTACTCTGCAGTCTACGGACCGTCTATATAACCCTAGGGCGCATCGGAATCCTTCAACGCGCGACTCGGCCATGCTCGACACGAGTAGCATGGAATTCACCACTACTAGCGGCAGTGCATCTCCAGATACAAGTGCGCTGCATGGTACCACCGCTGCCACCAGCTCAACCTCAAACCCAACAACGATTCCGGCCACGGTGGCTTAAACCATTGATCACCTGTCCGCCACACTATAAGTACTAAAGGGCACCACCACCGGCCTTCCTGTTTTCTTCGGGAGACCCACTCGAAGATCCCTCTACTTTCTTCGACGACCAGGAGAAATACTTCGCCAAAAATCCCGTTGCCAGCGAAACTCAACGCACCCTGGCTGGGCAGCAACTGCAGAAGGCGGTCGCCGGCTGGTGGAGGCCGCGCACATACCTCCCCATGACGAACCCCGAGGTGCGCAGTGAGTCACGTAGCATTACGATAAGTCAACGATCCAGACTGAACGCAGAGCTCGACAACCGCGACCAAAAGAACGATTCCGAAGTGCTCTTTCTTCAGCGGAAGGCCCAGCTCACTACACCGTTGCGCATCGAGCGGACGTACTGCACCCTATGGTGCGGTCGTTCTTGCCCCTACGAGCCCCCCGCAGTGTGATCGGGATTCTGCAGTTTCTGGAGGTGGTTGAAGAAGGCACTAGGCCAGTCGGCGCCAAACCTCCAAAGAGGTAAGCTTCCTTGCCTGCCTGCCATTACTGTCCCGAGCGTCACTTTCATCGAAACTGTCCCATGGCTCAAAGATCACTCCAAGAAAATGCTTAAGCGGCCGGGGTGCCAAGCTCTCCTCGGCAGTAATTCACCAAATACACGAGCCACCACAACTCGGGCTGCCAAATATCGCCATGGAACTTGGGGTTGGCCACCGCCTTGCCCTGCTCGACACTGGAGTCTCTCACAACTTCATCGATCGTCGGCTGACCACCCACATCAGCAAGGGTAGAAAACCAACGGGCGATGCCCTTTGGATTAAGTAATGCCTCGTCCATCGTTCAGAACCTAATGACGCCGAGGTACTCCGGGGGATCCTGAGGAAATTCGCCATTGTAGACCTCAACGGCATCGTGGCTTATTCGAACTCGTGGGAGGCACACCTCGATCACCAGCGGATAGTGATGGAGCGGCTTTACCAATACGTAGCCTCGCACCAGACAAGGATCACATCTATGACGCACCTGCGCTCAACCCGACAGTTCCGCAGCTTCTTAGGCCTTAGAAATTGACTTTGCGACTTCGTACCTGCTGTGCCGAAATTCAAGTTCCGCTCAACGACATGCTAAAAAAGAGGGCCGATTCACGTGAACGGCCACCGCGAGCAAGGCGTTCGAGGGTCTGCAAGAAGCCCTCGGCCAGCCACTGAAATTCCGTCGTCTCGACTTCCGGTTACAGTTCGTGCTCCTAACACTTGTGAATGCGGAATCCGACCTATACCAGGTCCAGCTATGCCAGCTCGAATTTTAATACCCTGTAAGTCAAATACTACGGCATCGAGCTGGAATGCTTGGCCGTCGCTTAGACGTTCAAGAGGTACAGGCCGAAGACAGACGATTCACGCTAGGCAGAGACAACCAAGCGCTTCTCTGTCTTGAGTGAACCCAAGATGACCGGAGTAAACTTACGCGCTGGGCTCTCCTCTTCCAGGAGTTTAGTTGGGACATCCAACTGCCGGATCACCTTTCCCGAAATCCCAACGAAACTACCATCACCGCCGACGCAGGCGAAGAACGCCTGACGTTGCCCTCACCCGACCAACGCCCCACCATCAACCACGTCGAACAGTAACCAGAAGACCATCCTCGACGCTCAAGAGGCGATCCGATCGTGGCGACTCATCCGCAACGAAAGGCCCACCAGCGAAATCCAACGTTCCTGCACCTCTACAAGCACAGCCCCCAGGATCGGCCGCTCGCTGTCCCAGATAATGCCACGCGGACGTCCTCCACGCCAACCACGACGCTCCCATCGCCGGACCGAGGGGCCCTGTTCAGGATGCGACCCCTTCGACCGAGGCAACCTACATTCCTCTGAGCCTTCGTGTCGGTAGACCTAATGGGACCGTACGCCGCGAAGCCCACCTGGTTCTGCCAACTACGGTCCTGCGGTCACCCAGTACCAAGTAGAGGTGCGGTTAATGCAGAGGAACCGGGACTAAAAAGCCTCGAACTTCCATTCCAAATGGATCGGACCCCGCACCATAAAAACCACGGGCTGGAACAAACGCGTACTGGGGTCCACATTCACGACCTGCAACCCGTATCAGCTTCACCAGTCACCGCAGTTCCTGCTGAAGGCTGAAGAGGGACGAGCCCGCCAACGAATCGGACCTATTGGTCAGCGTGGCTCATCGAAGCAAACAACACCGCAGCGAACCACTTGCCGGAAATATAAGCTGCGTTGAAACAGTGAGGATGCTCACTAGAGTTGGGGAAGTTTGTATGGCTTTGAACGCTTGCTGACTGTGTCGCCACCACCTCCACCTCATAATCCAGCACCACCGCTCTACATAACGTTTAGTAGCTGTAAGTACTTCTGATTGTATACTGTTTTTTTGTAAATATCTTAAATGCAGTTTGGTTGCCGGTCATCGAAGTGTCCATACAAAGTGCTAACAGTTCATTTCGACCGTTTAAACTAGAGAAAATGAAAATGAAATTTGACATTTTCAGTTTTCCAGTGATAGCCACTATTTGAGCCCTACAAGACAGCGTTGAGAGATTTTTAATACATTGTTTGGATTCAAAGAAATCGTCAACAACATTATTTTTTTTATATGGCCCGTAAAAAGGTAACATACTGTATAAATTGTAAACTGTTGGTTTCAACAGAATGGTGCACTGGCGCAATACGCTAAAATTGTGGAGAATACCTATCAGACCTATTTTCCATTTTCCAGAAAAATTGTGCGAAGGTAATCACGCCGTTGTGCGCGGGTGCACCATGCTGTTGAAACCAGCGGTTCCCAACTTTTACTTACCGTGTTCAGCACATCACTGTATTCACAATAAAAAATGCTACTCAATACAGTATGAATTGTTTTTACAAGCCATATGAAACAATTAAAAAAGTTATTATGCAAACATAAATGACCAGAGCGTATTTTTCTCCTAATAATGTTAATGCTGGAGCCGGGAAAAGATACCGGTAGGCACGAGATCCTTATAATATCAAGTTTTGAAATACTTTTCTCGCAGTTGGTATATTACCTGATGGTGGAGCGTATACAAACATACAAAAAAATGTAATTTAAATTCTTGATAAATAAGAAAATTGACAGTGCGCTAAATCATATACAACGGTTCTTTGCAGGTGACAATGTGGATACAGAATTGGGTTGGACACACTCCTTCAGTGACAACGAATTAGGAAAGAAAGGTAACGGATCGTGCACATTGACATTAGTACGGGAGGTAGCGTCCTATTTGACCGGACCATTTTCGCAAAGTTCATCTTTCTACTATAGATTTTTGATCCATAACCTATCAACGATAGGGGCGTCAGCTGGTTCAAAAGCGTGGCTTAAGATGGCGAGAGACTGCGAAAGATGTAAAACAAAATTGTTTTTCGGACCATTTTCGCAAAGCTGAAAATGGTATATATAATAGTGTACAATGTAAAAAGAGCATAAATAACTGTCAGCTGATATTTAAATGTGGCAAAACCTGTTAGCTGGGCGTCCAAAGTGTAGCGTAGTGTTAGCGCGCGCGGCGACTTTAAATTTTGATGACCCAGCTAACACATTTTTCCACGTTGTCGTGTCAGCTAGCAAGTGGTTTCCTTTTTTTTGCGCCATAAACTGATGACGTACTCATTTCCATGCATGCTGATGTCATATTATTGGAGAAAAATATGATTGAAAGAGAATACATATGAGTAAAATGGTATCACATACTGTATAATAATATTATACATGAAACATTGTATTTTATAATTTGTAACGTGCGTTAAGGACATATGTATAATAAATCAAAATAGACAAAACAAACCAAAAAAAGGAAACTAATAGCCCTAACCACGGCTGCGGCTGCTCACGGAGAGACTGTAGGTATGACTGTGTGTGATTATCTTTCAGGCGCTACCAACTTTTATTTCCCTGTTAGGGAGCCGTGCCCAAAAATTAAAAAATAGCCTTCTTGTGGGCGAGGAAGCTAAGGAGAAAATAAGACAAACACTCCCGCAGACCCGGTCTGTTTTCTTGTAACGCATTTTTTAAGAATTGTCTAAGAAATGTGTTATTGGTTGCGTTTTGTCCTAACAGGAAAATAAAAGTTAGTAGCGCCTAAAATAATCTTACACAAACGTACCATAATCTCTCCGGAAGCAGCCGCAGCCGTGGTTAGGGCTATTAGCTCGGCTATTAGTTTCCTTTTTTTAGTTTGTTTTGTCTCTTTTGATTTATTCTATGTCCTTAACCACGTTACAAATTATAAAATACAATGTTTCAATTTATGTATAATATTATTATACAGTATGTGATACCATTTTACTCATGTATTCTCTTTCAATCATATTTTTCTCCAATAATATGACATCAGCATGCATGAAAATGAGTACCTCATCAGTTTATGGTACAAAAAAAAGGAAACCACTTGTTAGCTGACACGACAACGTGGAAAAATGTGTTAGCTGGGTCATGAAAATTCAAAGGCGCCGCGCGCGCTAGCGCCCGCTAACGCTACGCTACACTTTGGACGCCCAGCTAACAGGTTTTGCCACATTTAAATATCAGCTGACAGTTATTTATGCTCTTTTTACATTGTACACTATTATATATACCATTTTCAGCTTTGCGAAAATGGTCCGAAAAACAATTTTTTCTTACGTGTTTCTTAGCCTCTCATACCATCACGCCACGCTGTCGCGCCAGCTGACGCTTGTTTTAAGTGTTAACTAAGCAAAAACTACCAGGCAGAATAAAAAGTAATTGTGCGAAAATGACCCGTAAAAATAGGACGCTACCTCCCGTACTACATCTCACTGACCGACGGTAACACGAAACTTCTTTGAAATTTCAAATGATGCAAAATTTCTCGGAATGCTGTCTTTTCTGGTGCATCCTCGTATTCTAAAAGTTATGAGCAAACCACCATTTTATTAATACAACTTTTTGGCGTTAGTGGTTATTTTATCACAAGAAGGAGAAATCTTTACGAGTGGAATGATTTTACGATTACGAACAACCAGAGTTCAATCAATCAATCAATTATGCTACTCTAATTTTCATATTACACATCGATTACCCCAGTAATCTTCCCCAAAACTAATTCTCACTATTATTATTACTAAGTACTACCGTTTTTTAGTATCACATGTAATAAGTAAATCCGCAATGTTTGTTAATTTATTGTGCTAATTCAACGAAATTTCGAAAAAAAAAGTAAATGCAAATTTAGCGCTACTGTTACACAATATAGTAGTAAACGCTAGCTTTTTGTACAAAATGATTTTGAAAAAACACGTTTGTAGGGTGTCATGCCATTTATTTCTGCTACAGCTCACATGTCAATATTTCCTCACGTTAGGCAATTTTGTTCGATTTTTCTAACGAAGATTAATGTTACGTCATAAACTAGTAGCGTGCCTATGACATCACTATTATTAAGTGTGTAAGTAAAGGTGAGAGGTTAAGGCACCCTGGAACCAGTACCAAATGGATCAATTTAATAAGGCATTTAGTTAGGATTAACATCAGTTTATTATTTGTTACCGAAATCTATTATCGTAACATAAGGATTACTTCATATAAATAATGACAGCTGCAATACACTATTTTCGTCTGTACGGTACCTTATTTAATCGGTCGTGCAAAGATACTGTACGAACACATACGGATAAACAGAATGGATATAAATGGTGCGTGCGTCAACACTTCCAGCAAAAATTATAACATATACATCTACCTACTCAACGTAAGCACAACACGTCACCTGTCAACCTTTATCAAACTAAATATGAAGCACTCCCTAAAACAAACTTTTCTAGATTTAAAAACATCAGAGACAGGTGTTACTTAAA